GTTCAATGACCTTTCGAGGCATAAATTAGTTAGACGTAAAAGCAAATAAATGTCAACGAAGATAATAATTTGCATGTGAGCGACCCATTTCTTGTGCGAACGAGTCGAAAGAAACAAAAAGAAAAACCAAACAAATCAGTATGAAATATGAATTAGTAATATAAATTAATTAAAATTTAAACTAATTACTAAAAGTGGTTTCTAACGCATTTACACTTACATACGAGTATATAGTTGACATATGTCGCACGAAATTTATGAGAAAATTTACATAACTAATTGCTAAAATATGTATATAATTTTTATATATATGTTTGACATTTATTATTAAAAACACTAAATTTAATTACTGTTTTTTTTATTTTTATTTTATTTTATTTATTTATTTTTTTTTTTTTGAAAAATATGGAATTTTAAGATGTTCCAAATATTTATGTTTTTTTATTTAAAGCAAAGATTAAAAAGAGAAAAATATAAGAAAAATATAAGAAAAAAAGAAAGAAATTCGTGACAACCCAGTACAAACTTTTTTTCTATATTTTCTTAAACTAAATACATTAAATGCATTTAATTTTTTTTTTTTTTTTTTTTTTTTGGAGAAACTCGTTTTTTGTGATAAAGTCTGAACTTTGGTGTTAAATTGGAAACGCTACATCATTGAAACGAATTTTTGCAAACTTCAATACGTTTTAGGTAGCTTAGAACTAAACTTTGGTTTCAATATCATAACCATGTACCCGTTAATCGTCACCAGTTCTGATCATTTCAGTTATTCTAAACCAGGCTCATTATATGCTTCGGTCAACAATTTTGGAAAGAAAATCGCTGCATTCAAGTCAAAACATTACGAAAAAATTGCATGAACCAACCGATCTGTTAACATTTTCAGCAACTCCTCTATCAATCTCATGCTGTAGCGTCATCTTCTTGACGTTCTGTGAAAAAGTGGTACTTTTGAACATTTTCCCTTGATTCGCTGAATTATGTACATACACAGTGTTTCCCAAAAATAACCGAACTTTTTGGTTATAAAATAAAATACACATTATATTATCTTTGAAAGTTATTATTTATTCAAAATAGGTGCCATTTGACTCAACACAACGTTTGGAACGATCAACCAGCGCATGCATAGATTTTTTTTATGTCATTTATAGAAATGACCTTCAGTACCTCGGTTACGGCTGCTTGAATGGCTGGAATATTATCATAAAATGCTCCCTTCATCCGGGTTTTCAATTTTGGTAATAAAAAATAGTCACATGGTGACAGATCAGCCTAATACGGAGGCTGGTCGATGAGAGAAATCCCTTTTTTTCATTAAAAATTCGAGCGATTTTTTGGTCGTCATTTAATTCATGTGAAACAAATCGCGCACAGACCTTTCTTTTCCCCAAATCTTCAATTGAAATTCTCCAAATAGTGTTTTTACTCGAATTCAATTCCTCAGCCAACATTCTCGTGGCAAAATTTGCATCGATACCAATGATTTCACGGACTTTTTCCACCAGTTCAGCACGATTACTAGTTTCTGGACGTCCCGCTCCAGGGTCGTCATTTAAATCCTCAAGACCATTTTTAAATCGCGCAAACCACGTATAAACTTGCGTACGACTCATACAATCATCACAATAAACTTTTTTATTAATTTTTTTTTTCTAGTTTGACACAAAATTTTATATTTGCTCTTTGTTCCATTTTATTTTTGAACCATTATTAGCACACTTTTGGTTTTATTGAAATGAAATGGATGCCTCTTTTTAATGTTGCAAAATTTCAATAGATGGCGCTGTATGTTATTTGATTTAAATATAAAGTTCGGTTATTTTTAGAACACATCGGGTATATCAACGTCATCGTATAACTCGTACATCTCATCATTCTATCGTCTGCGGTATTCGTCGTTGTCAGCGATCACTTTTAGATGGACGTTCTCAAAACTATTCTCTCGAAGACTCCCAAGGTCACCCAACTCACGCTAATCGACCTCTTCTGCGCTCTGCGCGATACTGTACAGTAGGAGGGGCATGATGAGGCACTTGTAGAGTTTGATTTTTGTACCCGCAGAAACTCCCCACACTGATTTACTACTCATACAAGTAAAAAATATATATATAACTTATGAAAAAATAATAATCAGTATTCACACTTTAATTTCAAAGAAATTTTTTGTGTTCGTGACATTTACGCAAGTACTACAATTTGCATACATAAATGTCAAAACACATTAGCTCTATTAAGCCTGAGCGTATTCACTCTCCTTTCTAACCAAAATTAACTAATCAAAAGGTACAATAAAATTATTTTTATGATCATTTTTCGCAGCAGGCTTTCTTTATGGCTTATTAACATTTTTCATATTTATTTACATAACATAAATATATGTACACTTCTCTAGGAAATATTTCCAATAACTTGTTTTTATCATACATAATCACAAGTTGAATTAGTTGTTGACTTCACAGATTTATGTGGCATACCTAAGCTAGATTTTTTAAAGAAATTTTCTCTGGGAGTCTAATAAGATGCTCCCTTCCAACTGAAGTCGTTTACGGCGCATTAATAAGCCTACAATACATAGACGCGAAGGAGACGCTCGGAGTTTTATTTCAAACTTAATTGAGAGGTGTTATCCATAGCATATTCCCTCTAAGAGAGCTTAACTTAACCCTGCAGTGCTCGTTAGATATTTACAGACACGAATACTCGCTACCGGGTAATAAATGTCACAGGTTTAAGGTACAGCTATTTACAGAAATAACGGGAAAATTCAAAATTTGGTTAACATCTATAGTTATTTAGATTATTTTGAATAAAACAGCAAAAGAAAATTTTAAATTTTTTTTTAATTGAAATTTAATATATAAACAAAAATATTAACTTGTTTGGGTTAAGTCTTAACAAAATTACCAAAAAAAATTTGTTTAAGACCATTGAAAGTTGAGATCTATATCAAAATATAAACTAATACGCTACCGAAATAATACAAATAAATGATGCTTTCATATTAATTGAACTTTGATAAAAATCAACTTCAAAAATAAGCAAAACTACGACTTTATTTTTTCCCAGCACTTCGCCATTGATTGGGGTTATGTGCTCTTTGCATATTATTTTGTTGCATAATTCGCAAATTGTATTCATTTTCCTGTCCTTCTTCCATTCTCATACATCACAGCGTGAATCAGATACGGTTGGAGCGGACCTGGTTGAGATGACAGGCAAAAACTGTATCTTAGTTTTTATGTATGCTGACAAATTAGGTGCCTAGGACACTTTTTTTTGCAACTCTGGAATTACAAAACCCAAATCAAAGTCTTGCAAGACAATCCTGTTTGTCCATCATCTAAGCTCCACTATTTTCCTTATTCTTCATCACTGTAATATAGACATTAATGCCGGTAATGTTCAATCTTACACGTATACGTCACAACGGCTCAAGAAGTTGCCACAAAGTTCGTCTGTCCATCCTCTTCATCTAATATATTTCAATGGCACATCCCCTAAATATTCCTCATATATCCGTTCTTCATTCTCCTTTCAATCTGAAGGCAGTTGGTACAGAATATCGTGTGAATTCGACACCGTGACCAAATGATCTGCTTGCTGCTTCCTGCTCAGATTATATTTCGTGTTCACTATTCTCCTCATGGTCTTTCATTTTCGACACATTTTCTACTTCACTATCTACTTCAGCAAGTAATTGTCCTATTATGCTATTCCACAGTGGTGTATTAACCTTTAAAAAAAAATAAAGTTGAATATATGCCAAAAAATAAGGCTCTTCGCTACCGGGTATTTTTCACCTTATCTGACAAGCGACTCACGCGAACTGATTACCAGACGGAGACGGGCTTGTTACCCATTGATTCAAAGGTACTATAGAAAATAAGTTGCAACTCAAATTTAGAACTCGGTGGTATTTTTTAAGATAATCTAAACACTTTAGACCCCTTTAATTGTGTTCGTATTGATGAGTGCATAAGTTCGTGCCCGATTTCAAGTGCAAACTAAAATTGAAGTTTTTTGAAGAAAGCGCTTTTATTAATCATTTATGTATTCACCATCATGTTCGGCAATCCACTCCCAACGTTCAAACAATTTACGGATGCCTGATTCATAGAAATCGCGGGGTTTTTCGTTTAAAAAGGTGTCAAGGTTCTTTTTCTTTGTCCATCTTCCATGCGTCTTTTCACTAAGCAACTCAAATCAAAATGAAGTTATTCTATGCTTGATTTACAGTTCGGACTGTCACCTTTCCAGCGATATATAATATGTATATATTTCTTTCACGAGCGCCACTCTCAAACGATTCGAACGGCATCCAGCGGAATCGGGCACGAACTTATGCACTCATCAATACAAAACCAACTTTGAAATGGAATTTGTAATATTTATGCAACGATTTTAATTCTCATTCTGTCAGAATTGATTCCTTCAAGGTGGATAACTCTGGGTTCGTCGTCGAAAACGTGCTACACGGGCAATTATCTCAGCTTTGAGACTCTTTTCAAGTATAAAATTAATAAAAAGGAAAGTTAATCTCTTAAATATATGTACCTATAAGGCACATATGCATAGCATAACCATTAATATAAAAAAAAAAATATATATATATATATATATATATATATATATATATATATATAGGTAGGAATTTCGACAACAAGAGCTGTCGCCCTTGCAGTTGATTGAGACATAATTACAATAACTTCGGGTCTTAATTAACTTCGCTACGTTAACCCGGCAAGCTAGTTTAATACTAAATTACTGCACTTGGTTTATGAGGCAAGGTGTAATGACTTGTTTATTTATCTTCAAAAAAATATGTGACATTTAAAATTAATGAATTATGAATGTTGAGCTTTATTGTTATAAAATGGCAGAAGCCAAAAATTAAGTTGAAATTTTTATGATTTATTTAAGCTGGATTATATGCAATACCATAATAAATATATTAATATTTTTTAATATTTATTTAATTTTATTTTTCATTTCAGAAAATAACTTGAAACAAAGAAAGAAAAACACATTATGGAATCTCTAATAATCGCCTTGGTAAGTTTTCACAATTTCTTTAAATAAAGAGCGATTTTTTTTAAGTTTTCAAAAAATACTATAAATACTACAGAAACATTTTGAGCATTTACAAAAAAAAAATTAAAATATATACCAAAATATTTATTGCAATTTGTCTAAGGAGATGAACATGTAACGCTGTTAGCTTAAGATTCTTCTTTTTGGTCGCGCTTCTATTTCGTTTCCTAATCCGCGTCGATCTGCTGTTAGGATTGTCTTCAGGTTATATAACTTTCAAGGATGGTGACTAGAACCCACTACGGTTCTCGTGTTTTTTCCAAAACCTTTTCGATATATCAAATTTTGTTATTTTTATACCTTCATTTCTCTGTCGCACGATTAGGTTGATGTTTAGACGGATTCAACAAAACCACCGGATTCAATTCTTCTTTTTTATATTTGCTATCAATTGAAGGCACCAGTTGTCTCTCTGTGGCTGATATGACAGTGACCTAATTCTATATATATTGTAACCGAGTCGATAATAGCGCGCCATTCCTTGCTTCTCTTCGTTGTTTCTCATCAGTTGTTAATACCAAGTGAGACCAAATCCTTCCCACGAAGTGGACCCCATCCTCTTAATCTGCTTCTAGGGAACTACGTTAAATACTTTGAATTTTGATGAGCTTTCATGCATTCCGACGACTTAGTATTGCCAGCGTAGCTGAACTATGTCAAAGTCACCTTAGCTCGTAAAATGCATCGTTCCGTCGGCTGCGGTATTCGCCATTTCCAATATACACAGGACCACAAAACTTACGCAAAACCTTTCTCTTGAAAACTTCTAATATCGACTCATCACATGTTGTCATTGTCCACACCTCCGCACCACACAGCAGAACGAGAATGATGAGCGATTTGTTGAGTTGGATCTTTGTTCGTCGCTGTTGGCTAGAGTGATTCTGCCTTGTGCTGGGATTATTATTAGTGTTGATGCTGATCTCTCTAGATAGACGAAATTAGCTACGAGCTCAAAGTTATGATTATCAACAGTGATGTGAACTGGAGACATTTCACTTCGTCCTCGTTCACGACCGTTCACCTCGTTTCTTTGTCAAGCCTGGAAAAAGTAGAACTAACGGCGTGGTTCTTAAGCACTTTTACTTCTACAGCTCTTATAAATATTTACCTCCAGCACTGGGTTGAATTAGTCACACTATTAAAAGTCACGCTGTCTGAATCCTCGTTTCGTAGCGAACGGCTCGGAGGGGTTCTTTCCAATTCTAACTGTGGTTCTTAAATTGTCCAACCTCAGTTTGCAGAGCCGAATAAATTTTGCAGTGATGTCGAGTGCAGCTTTAAATCGATCGATGAAATGGTGGTGTGCCACAGGTCCAAAGCTACACTGATAAATTCTGATTATTTCACTAACAGTGTGCTTTAATCTTCCAGTATCCAAGCGCATAAGTTCTCAAATGGATTAATGGAAGTCTCATTCTACACTCTATACGTGTATGTTCTTCATCGTCTCCTCAGCTTATTAGCCGAATGATGGAACATCAGTTCCATTATCATTGGGTGGTGATTAGCAGTCATCTTCAGGCGGAAACTTTGAAAATTAAGTATGATCTCATGATCGTTGGTCAGCAGATCACCTCAATAGGAACTATGAAAGTATGGGCCGGTTATGAAACCTTCTGCAAGTAACATAGAATTTTGTATCTCCTATCAGCCAGCTTTTCTCATTCTTCATATTCACGCCTACAGTCCCTCGCTACTCTTCTATTCCTAAATGATGCATGCTTCCTTCTGTAACTGTCATTATCATTCCAGCACGATCGATTACAACGAAGCGAGTCTTTCTTCTCTCCACTGCATCGTTATATTCTTCATCGTATCAGCACTTCTTTCGACCTTATCAAAAAACGCCGCTCTTTTCTTTGATAATAATAGGGGTTTCATGAATTTACCCGCGGTAAGGCACGTCTGTTGTAAGAAGCGACTAAAACCCAATAGTCCCCGCGACAGTCGGGTCTTTATACCGGTACGATCGGGATTTTTTATCCGGCCAAGGACTGTCACACTCGCAACATTCCCCAAAAAGTACTTTGGGGAATATTTTTGCTGTTATAACAACAACCTTGTGAAAGAACAACCGATCATCTGTTATATAGAGTGCTTGAAAAGCCCTCCGGTGCAAATCTCGTATACCATATTATTGGCAAGTATTCTCAAAGTGAGTAGTGGAAAACATTTAACCTGTCTTCTGTGACGTCTGCCGACTTTAAGTAGCTTTACTGCCACAAGAATCATCAAGCATGATTTTCAAATCTCAGCGGCGGAAGGATTCATAGATGCATTTAAGCCGCTCTTTAGTTATATCGTTCTGTATTTCAGTGGGGGCTTGTGCCCACGCCCAGCGGTATATTGTAAAATCTCTCTTTAAGACGGATTGAGTATTACTACGTGGCGACAAAGTCTCTCTCTTACTTTTTACGCATATCAACCAGCCAGGAAAGAGGAGATTTCCAATTAAGACCAGACCAGACATTTCTTCTTATACTTTTTCTCATCCCGGAGAGCTATTAAATAGGCTCTGTTATGAGGGAAAGAATGTTTTTAATAGCAAAGAAGCATTTTTCCCCCGATTTACTACAATGATCCGTAGCTTAATTAATTAACCAACAACTTTCCAAACAAATTCTGCATTAATTTTCTTTCTCCTTCCAGTTTGCGCTTTCCAGTTTGTGCATAAATTCCGTGCAGGGACATGGACGACTTATGGATCCGCCTGCGCGCAATGCTATGTGGCGTTTTGGATTCCCAAATGCCGTGAATTATAATGATAACGAACTATTTTGCGGTGGATATGCAGTACAATGGGAACAGAATTCCGGTAAATGTGGTGTGTGTGGCGATGCATATCACGTGAAGACACCACGTCCACATGAGGCGGGTGGTGAATATGCCAAGGGTATTATATCTCGATACTACGCAGCAGGGCAGGTGAGTTAGCAATGGAGTCTACACGATCTCAACAACATCACAAAACCTACTTGTTAATCTAAAAATTAATATTAATGCATTTTTAAATCTAACTCACTAACTCCCTTTTATTTTTATAGGAAATTGATGTGGAAGTCGAGCTCACTGCCAATCACTATGGTCGTTTCGAAATGTTTCTCTGTCCAAATAATAATCCACGGCGGGAGGCCTCACAAGCCTGCTTCGATCGTTATCCCCTCTACATTTCCGGCAGTCGGGAACATCGTTTCCTAATACCTCGAGATGCGCCGAAGAAGGAGATTTTCCGCTATCGTGTTCGCCTGCCACCATATGTTACTTGCACACAATGCGTACTCCAATGGACCTACTACACAGCGAATATGTGGGGCACTTGTTCGAATGGTACTGAGGCGGTGGGTTGCGGCAAAGCGGGTAAATGAAGGAGAAATCATACATAAAATGAATTGAAAAATAATAATAATTTAATTTATATTAAAATATGTACATATAAAAATTATATTTAAATTAACTTTTGTTTACAGAAACTTTCCGCAATTGCGCCGATATTGCCATTGTCTCCAACACAGGTGGCGGCGTTCCACCGATCTTCGTGAATAACAAATCTCCGTACTTGCTTTACTACAGAGATTATCGTGCGCCAGAAAATAATAACGTATTCCCAGTTATTGTGCGGTAAGTTTTTATGTAGATGTGTGTGTTCTTTGTCATGTGAGATGCTTACATACATACCTACATATGTGATAAGGCAGTAGTCACCTTTAGAAGCTGAAAAAATCCTGTTTTCAGCAATTTTTTTTGAAAAACAAGGAAAGAAAATTTTCAGACAATAATGTACTGCCGTTAAGCTTCAAAAAATAAATTTAAGTCTCTGAAAATATTGCAATTTTCTTATGTTGTGATGAGTTTTCTGAAGCGGCTGCAGCCTGAACTCATGAAACGGTGCCGTAGGTGGAGGTTGTGCGAAGCATCTGAAACACTATCGACCCATTTTTTTTTTAAATTCTATGAGTGTCTCTTCTATATGTGCATACTAAAGAAGAATCACAGATTTTTTCGAATTTTTTCAAAGTACGGAAAAAATCACTTTTTGAAAAAAAATTCACTATTTTTGAAAAGGAAATTCACGTTTTTTGAGGAAAAAAATCTCTTTTTTTGGAAAAAATCACTCACTTTGTTGAGAAAAATTCATTTGTTTTGAAAAAAGATCACTTTTTTGAGAAAAAAATTCTGTTGTTTTCGAAACAAAATTCACATTTTAGAGAAAAAATTCACGTTTTTTTTAAGAAAAAATTCACTTTTTTTGAAAAAAAAATTATGATTTTTTTGAAGAAAAACTCTTTTTTTTTTAAATCACTTTTTTGAGGAAAAAATCACTTTTTTTGAAAAAAATCTAAGCTTTTTTTAGCAAAGTTCATTTTTTTAGAAAAAAATTCACTTTTTAAAAAAATTCACTTTATAAAAAATCACTTTTTTGAGAAAAAAATTTACTTTTCTGAGAAAAAAAATTACTTTTATGAAAAAAAATTCGCTTTTTTGAAGAAAAAACAAACGTTTTTTTGAAAAAAATCCACGTTTCTTTTTTTAAAAAAATTTATGGTTGTTTGAAATAATCACGTTTTCTTTTTGAAAAAAAAAAAGTCGAAAAAAATCCTGTTTTTTTGAGGTTTTTCCTTTTTAAACTTTTTTTAACAAAGAATCCACGTTTTTTGGAAAAAAATTCACTTTTTTTAGATAAAAAAAAATACTTTTCTGAGCAAAAATTCACTTTATTGAAAAAAAAATTCCCTTTTTGAAGAAAAAATCCCCGTTTTTTTTTTTTTTTTTTGAAAAAAAAATCCATGTTTTTTTTTAATTCATGTTTTTTTTTTAAATTACGTTTTCGAAAATGACGTTTCGGACAATGATATAATACTCTCGCCCACTAAACTCTAGCTTCTAAAATATGCCGAATTGACCACAGAAATTTTAAAGGCACATTCTTGGTTAATTTGTGGAAAGTATTAAGAAAACGAAATGCATTTTTTGCAGCCTCTCAAGCAGACTACTGCCTTCAATACCCAATTTCTTTTATGTAAAAAAAAAAATTGTTTATTTGCTTTGCTTTTCTAGCAACACCACAAAGGCTTTAAAACGAGGGTGAACAGCATTTTTTAGTTGCTTAAAACTTGAGATTTTTTGTTGCTTCTTGCTGATTTTTTTCTTTATTTATTTAATTTTTTTTTTATTATTAATGCTTACGCACTTACTCCAGAAAGCCTGAATAAATCTTTTGATAAGAAATTTAGGTTGGAATTTGATCGATTGTAAATCTGCTTATTAATTTTTGGCTTTTTTGCTTTGCTTATTTATTTAAAAAAATTATATATCTTTATTTTAACTTTATTTATTTATCAATTTTTTTTAATTTTAATTTTTTTAATTTAATTAATTTACTTTTAATTTGAAATCTGTATTATTTTCATGCGTATATTAAATTGGTTATGGTACTAAATAAATACATATATACATATATAAATTAATAGCTTAATATAAAATAATTTTAAATTTTAAATAAACAAACAATTGTAAAAAAAAAACAAAACAAAAGTACAAATTTCACTGAGTTTTATTTAAATTTAACAATACTTTGGTGTTGGCTTTAATCTGAGGTTATATGTACATAAAATACTATTGTCGAATAATATTTAAGTTAATCTCATACTTGTATATATCCATAACAAGCGGATTCTGCTACCTTTGGAAGTGAATGATAAAATGTATTTTAAAAAACTTCCTCGCTTCTAAACGCCACTATTCACAGTTCCTGTTGTTGTTGTTGTTGTTTTTGTTGTTGTTATTGTTGTTGTTATTGTTGTTGTTATTGTTGTTGTTGCTGCTGTTGTTACTGTCGTTGTTGTTGTTGTTGTTGTTGATGTTGTTGTTATTATTGTCGTTGTTACTGTTGTTGATGATGTTGTTGTTGTTCTTGTTGTGTTTGTTGTTGTTGTTGTGTTTGTTGTTGTTGTTGTGTTTGTTGTTGTTGTTGTTGTTACTGTTGTTTTTGATGTTGTTGTTGCTCTTGTTGTGTTTGTTGTTGTAGTAGCCGCTAAAAATATTCCCTAAGTATATGTTGCTGGAGTGACAGTCCTTGGCCGAATAAAAATCCGGGTCGTTTCGATATAAAGACCCGACTGTCGCGGAAACTATTGCATTTTAGCCGTCTCTTAAGGCAGGCATGCCTTATCGCGGGTAAATTCTTGAAACCCTTAATCCGCAAGGAGAATTCCTAATACATGCAAGTGGTAGGCATAGAGGATTACTTACACAGGCCGTCACAATTTTGTCGTCAGCAACAGGACTATACATTTTCGAAGGTTTTTGACGTGCTGAAAAACACTTTTCTTAATTTACATTTGAACTTAGGCTTGAAATTTTTTTTTTTATTTGAGATCGTTAATCTACCTGATAGTACCACTTCTACTCTTCAAAAGCCATTTTGAATTTTTAAAAAATCATTTTTTGCCTCGAAGAAAATGTCTATTGAATTTACTAAGTTTGAGAAATTCATCAAAAACCTTCGAAAAAGTTTAGTCCTGTTTCTCGCTACAAAATTTAAGCAAGTTTTATCGGCCTGTGTTATTTGGAGATTTAATCCTGTGGTGCGCACTTTGGTCCGTAGCTATGATTCGATATTACTTCAATTGGTCAGCGAGTCAAGTCGATTTGACACTGTTGAAATTTTTTTCTTTGTGGGGCTACGCATGGTCTTACATGTTTATGTGGATAAACTTTTAATTCTTGAGCACTTGAAAACCACCGCGGTAGTAGTTAAAGCAGAGTTTCCCCCAACATGTGCCTTAAAGTGGTCAAAAATTACCTGAAACAGATGGAAATTTGCAAAAATTCAGAAGGCGGTCATACGACTAGTTTGAAATGGCAGTTCTATGGTGGCAAAGTTTGATATACGTAGCTTTCTAGATCGTGGCACCATTGGCAATGCAGTGAAATTGATTTGCCGTTATATACCGTTCCTTTAACAGATTACGAAAGTAGTAGTAATAACGATCTAATATGTTCAGCATTCGATAGAACCATTTGGAAAGTAATTTGAATGTATTGAATTCTTGCATTAACTATCCCAGCGCCATGATGATCTACATACGCGCTGCGCACAGGTTACTACAGAGAAAAAATCTGGCAACACTGTTCTTGAAAGAGTTCGTTTATCAGCTGCTCTATTTACTGATGAGAGCCGATCTTTCATGTTTTTTTCGATAAGTTTTCTATAGATTACATATGGTAGTTTTGGTTGAATCGACCACTCTCCCTTTAAGCCTTTATTATGGGTTTTTCCGACTTTTCCAATATTTTTTCTTTTCCCGTTGTTAATTTGTTTAATTAAAAATTGATCACAATAAGTAAACTATAATTTAAAAATCCAACTAATCGATTGTGACAACAAATATGTATCGATTTTTGATTAAATTCAAAGGAAAAGAGTAAAACAATATAACGGTACACTTCCAGAACTTAATTTTATATTTATAATACGCATTGCGTACTACCATTTTGAAATACCATGGATCTGGTCTTGGTTCGACCGAGATCCAAAATTGTAGAAAATTAATTTTTCCAACCACTCGGTACGGAATGTCAAACCCTCCGAGTGTATTTCTGACCATTAACAAAAGCTCCTCGTTTGAATCCATCGGCCATTCGAAAGCGGCTTAAAATAGAACATCAAGACGTGGTGTGCATTCAGAGGAGTCAATTGGCCAAAAATCGGATAAAGTTGTATAAAATTGTTGTCTTAAATTTTGTGTATGTATATACTCGTGGCGGCCGGCGGTAGCCAAGTAGTTGGCATTGCGTAGAGTCATTCGGAAGGCTCGGAATGAAATGCCCGTGGGACCAACATCCGAAAATTCTGAAAAGTTAAGTTAAATTTTCTAATTGCGGTCGCCCCACGGCAGGGAATGTCCGAGTGCATTTTTGACATGAAATAAAGGCTCCTCGTTAAAAACCACTAGCCGTTCGGACTCGGCTTAGTATAAACTGTTGGTCACTCCTTTTTTTTGAAAAACAACAAAACCCCAAATTGGAAGAGGAGCTCGGCGGAAAATTGTTTCAGCGGTTATAAATCGCCTATTTATGTATTTTAATTTCAATTTCTTTACATTTTACGTAATAGAAAAATGTATGATTTTTTTATAAAAAACCATTAAAAATAATGGTAATAATAATTTAATTTAATTTTATTCTCAATCTCGAAAATCCCTAATTTTACATAATATTCATTTTAATTTGCTGCTTTGAATTTTCTGCATAAATTGTTCCTACTGCGATCGAGATACTCTAACATAATGTCCCTCATAGAAAAAAGTTCCACTTGTTTTGCTCAACACTGTGGCTTTTAACACATTTCCATACATACATGACTTCTCGCTTTAACCAAAGCCATACAACAAATTTTGCCGTAGGGGGCGACATCTAATACTGTTACCATTCCATATCAAAAAGGTTGGGAACATAGCTAAGAAAGTTAACAGCAAAAGGTTGTGAAAGATGCTTATACCCGCGCTAACGATAACTCGATTCATACTGTGCAGCCATTTGGGACAAGAACCATAACGCCAATGGTCGAAAGCCGTGGCACCAACCATAAAAAAATCGCCTAAAAGCAGCGCGAAGAACTTTTAGCCCGAACAGGCAGATGCATATAAACACTTACACAGTCACCTTTTTGCCATATTTGAACCACCCGTAAATAAAAACGCAATTATTTTTATAAAAAAAACGCATTACCACCATTTACTGCATAAATTTCGAAAATTCAAATTTTTCAAATAAATGTTTGGAAAAAATAAATAAATGTGGTATAAAAGAATTTACAGAAATCAAAATGCTGCTCTTACAAAGAATTGTTACTTCCACTTCTGTAATTTCCCATATACGTAATTCAAATTTTGAACTACCAATTCGTATGTGAGTCAGCCAAAATTGTTGTAAGATTTATAATGTTTTTACGAGTGAATACGTAAACTGACAAAAAATAAAATAAAATGAAACATACGAACACAAACGATTACAATACAGTACGTACATAGCAATAGCATTACACAAGCACTGAGAGGAAATGAGAGTAAAAACGCATACCAAATCGACCTCAACATCTCGCATCAGGATATGTAATGGCCATGATGAGTATGAGGAACACAGATATTTGTACGCTACCCACAAGTATGGTTTTGAAAAGATTATTCTTCGGGTCGGGATTGCTCTCCGTTGGCAACGGTGTATGGTATTGACGTATACGACGACGTTTCCCCCCACGCACTGGTGCTGCACGCACACGAGTAGAACTCTTACTTTCCACCACCACCACCAGCGGTGAATTGTTCTCAACTTGCTGCTGTTGCTCAGTTGCAGCAGGTGGCGCCGTATAGAGTGCATCATTCAACGTGCATTGGATTTCCTCAATCTGTAAGGGTTCTGTCTCATACTTGTATGGTACACGTGCACTCCGATCGCTATCGCAGGCACACTGCAAAGGCGTCTTCGAGCGCACCTCGGTAGTAGATATTTCCGCTTTGGTTAGCGTCACAGCACTTTCAAAACTTCCTATAACACAGGGGTTGTATAGGAAACTATTGAAGAAACACGGATCTTGTTCTAGAACATTGAACGGCACAAGTGTGCTCTTCGGTTTGAGATAACGCATCAACAAATCGGGATTCTCTTTGAGACGCTTGAAAGATGTGCGCTTCAACTCGGTGCTATCTTTGTTCGAGGGTAAATAGAAGTGATGGCTGGCTTGCTCCTTCAATTCAACAATGGTTTTATGCTCCATACGAAACTCCTGCACAATACCGATGCAACGGCGTACACCCAACGATAGGGACTCGATGTAGGCATATTGAAAGTTATCCACATAAGCGCTATGCCACTTTGATTCAGTGGGCGTGGCGAGTTTGTGCATTTCGGCCAACTTCATGTCGCCTTGTGAGATAGTACGCTTCAAAGTCGCTTCGAGTTTCTCACCCAAAGCTTTCAAGATGATAATTTCCTTTTCCAAAGTGGGCACATTCTTGAAGATCACATCAACTTGCGGCTTCTTTGGTTCGGTATCCGGCGTTTGCGGCTTATGTATGGCTATGGTTGAGGGAAATTCATTTAGATTATGTAGCGCTGACTTTACCACCGTCTCTTGGCGTATTATCTCCTTCAGTTGGGTTTTTAAAATTTCCTTAAAGAGTACCGAGTCATTCCTTTGCAGCTGTCTATGACGCTGATCGGTCTTCACCACATTCTTTATCGTTGCTATTTCGTCCGGTTCCATATTCTTTTGTCTTGAATCCAATAGACAACGGAAATTCGATGCTATGGTCGCGCTCATGTTCAACGACTCATTTGTAGGTACTGGCATTAGTGGCGCCACAACAAATTCCTCTAACGAATCTTGCGAGCCTATGTGCTTTTCCACCTCAGAGTCCTCATATTCATCATAGTCGGCGAGCAGCTGATTGTTCTGCAGTAGCGCATTTATATTATCAGATCTGGCCGTAGCTATTTTCAAAGTACAATCCTCTGAAGATGTCTTCGAATTGCAAATACTGCGCGCAGTCAGTAGCTCCCTTATGGACTTGACACGCGTGCAATTCAATTTATTATCATCCACATCGAGATCTTGCAAATAAGGCGCTTTACTTTTAAGTCTTCTCACAGTTTTCTTCTCACCAACACGTTTATTCAGATTTGTATTCGGTGTTAAGGGTTTCTTATTAACACGCTGACCTGCCGCACGTGCTTGCAGTCGTAGTGTGCTCTTCGCCGCCGGCATGAGTGTACGGCTCTTTGTGAGTGTCAAGAAACCGCCATCATTACTCGCGCTCTTCTTGACTCGGCTCAAACGATCCCAGACGGTTTCCTTGTTGAGTACGACGCCTGGTGAACGCTCTGAGAGCGAACGAAAGGTTACTGCAGTCATTTACATATTTTAAAATCGCCACTAGACATTTGATGAACGCAAAAGTGCGAAAACATTCAGACACTCACCTTTATTCAAATTTTTCAACTTTCGACGCAAATCCTTATTCTCATTTTCCTTTTCCATTTTCATCAAGAGGTTGGCTTTGCTTTTATTCACTGCGTTCGGCATTGCCCATTCGTGCTGATACTCCGTCGTCTATGGTAAACAAATATTTTTGAATATTTTGAATAATTCTTGTATTTGTATTTAAATTTATTTATTTTATTATTCTATATTTGAAAAGCAAAATTTTTTTTTTAAATTTTGTTCTCTTTCGATTTTACATTTATATCTTTTTTTTGAACTATGAGCACTTTTCTTATGTCTACTTTCTGAAAAAAATATTGAACGTAATTTTTGGAACATAATTTGTGGAACGCATGTGGTTTGAAGTGAAATGTTGAGAAATAATTTCAAAACAAGCCTGGGAAAAGGGAGGACCTCCTTACCGGTTCAAAAAACCCATCAAAATTGTCTGTACTTCTTCTGAACATCTTACGATTTGAACACAAAATTTTAGCGCTAACAATTTGGTATGACACAAAATATTGCTAATAAAACACAAAATACAAAAATACAAATAGATATTGAATTTAAAAATCCGAAACCAAATCTTTGTTTTGTTTCGAAAAAAAAAAAATTACAACAAGAGTTGCCAACTAATATAATATATGAGGACATTTTTGGTTGCCTCGTTTACATGCCAGGAATGTATTGACGAGCTTTGTGTGCCCTTTCTTCTTATTTTTCTTTATTGGCGTTGGCACCGTTTAGCGCGCCATTCATTCTTCTTCTTTTCGCTCTTTAGCGCCAGTTGGAAGTACCAAGTGAAAAGCCCGGTCACTCTTTACTTGATTCTTCCAACGGCGTGGTGGTCTTCCCCTTACTCTGTTTCCACCAGCGAATACTGCATCGAATGCTTTCAAAGCTGGAGTGCTTTCATCTAAACGGACGAAATGACCAAGCGTAGTCGCTGTCTCTTAATTCGCTAAAATATGTAGAGGATATTGATATAGCTCATACAGGTCATCGTTCCATCGTCTGCGGCATTCGCCGTTGTCAATGCTAAAATTACCATAAATCGTTTGCAAAATTTTTCTCTCGAAGACTCCCAGATACGACTCATCTGATGTTGACATCGTCTATGCTTCTGCGTTATATAGTAAGACGGATCTGATGAGCGCCTTGTAGATTTTGGTTTTCGTTCGCCGAGAAAGGACTTTACTTTTCAATTGCCTACTCAGTCCAAAGTAGCAACTGTTGGCAAGAGTGATTCTGCGTTGGATTGACGGAGTTATCTACGACTTCAAAGTAATGACTGTCAACAGTGACGTGGGAGCCAAGCCGCAAATACGATGACTGTTTGTTTGCTGACAGGAGAAGAAGCCACGCGATAAGGAATCACCCTGTATGAAACCTTGTTTGATATAAAACGGCTCGGAGATGTCTTTCCCGATCCCGGCGGAGCTTTTAGTGTTGCTTCAGGTCAGTTTACTTAGTCATATCAATTTTGCGGAAATACCGTCTTCTTTTCGTCCTGTTGAAGCATGCTTTAAAGTCAACGAAGAGGTAGTGTGTGTCAATCTGCTCTTCACGGGTCCTTTTCAATATTTGACGTATAGTGAGTATCTGGTCAATTGTTGATTTACCAGGTCTAAAGCCAGCTTAGGGTATTATATGCGGTATTATGGAGGATTCTCCCACGGTAATTGGCCCAGACCAATTTTTTATGGATTGGGCAGAGCGCACTTAAATTCTAAGCGTCCAACATGCTTTCATCCGACCCTATTTTGCAAAGAAACTGATGCATACCACCATCCACATCCGCCGCTTTGTTGTTTTTTGAGCGCACGATTGCTATTCGGACTTTTTCATTGTCGCGTAACGGAACAACTTTTCCTTTGTCATCAATTGGAGTTTCGAGCTCAAAATCTTCCGTTAGTCGCCATGTCTTTTCGTAGAATTTTTGAGCATTACTCTAGTCGGCCAGTTTCTCAAGCTCTTCATACTCATACATTTCAGCTCGATACCCTTGACGATCATGAAAAATTATTATCATTATTATTTTGATCTCAAATCTCTTAACTTTTTCCAACTGCCTGATGTAACAAGAGTATGGATCGGCCGAAAATAGATTCAGCGGTTAAAAATTTGCCAATTATATTGTATATGGGTCTAGTAAAAAGTAATCCATTATTTTTACCATAGATGACCTCAGTGATCTAAAGGAAGTAATCGCTCAGCTTTGGCCAATAAGAGGCGAATTGTATTGCATCAGGACAATGCCAGACCACACATCGATAGTGACTCACTAGAAGTTCCGAGAGCCCTGATGGGGAGGTTCTTATACACCTATCTTATAGTTCGAAACTCGCACTGGTAAAAAAAAACATATGAAAATCGCTTGTCCTAACTTTTTGCCAATAGGAAGAAGGGTTTCTATGATAGGGGCATATATCTTTTATTAATTAATATTACTTTCATTGCTCTTGAAACACATTTCAATTTGGGTATTCGTCGAAGTATACCTCCCGTCTTATGGATTTCATTGCCCTTCTCAATTGGAGACACCAAGTGAAGTCAGTTCCTTCTTCAATAGAAGTGATATCTTCCTTTTCCTCTGTTTCACGAAGGGAGCTTTAAATTGCGGTTGCTCTCAGAGAAAGTGCAAAAGTAAATAAGTAAGGAACTATTTTTCACTGGCCAAAGTCAGGTGCGTATTTTAACTACGAGAAGCTACAGGTCTGATTCGATGTCTTCCGTATCACACTACTCTGGCTGACTTGGTTTCGAGTATTTCGATTCGGTGACAGTCCGCTGACTGGATTTTACCTCACCGTGATGGCTGATTTTTGCGGCTCAGGGCAATGTTGAAAGACCTAACTTTAATTCGGATTGTGACAAGGCGTTCGTTGCCAACAGAGACTTTGTTCTACCACAAATCCAACACCAAAAATGCGCTTGATATTTGACCACTATAATCTATATATTCATATTTCACTTCTACTGAGCTGTGGTGACTGTACTGTCTTAATGTTTTCGGGAACAACAACCAGCTAAACCTTTCCAATTAAGTAATGATTATAATTGACGAACCTGACATACCAGATTCATGCCCTCAACTCATAGTTCTTAATAAATTTGTCGTGACCATCAGAAATATTTAAATGTTTAATCCGAGGCTCATTTAGTTTTTGACTTTGCTCTAAGAGCGGGAACAGAATTAGCTCATGAACAAAATTTTCCTCGAGGATAATGAGCTAATGAGGGCTTTGTATCGCCGAAGCGATTTTTGGTCGAGCTCCTTCTCCAGCGCTGAACAAACGGTGGAAGCTACAGTTTATTGCATACCGCCTAGCATTTATTTCCATGTCAGAAACACCCTCGGAGGGCTTGATATTCTCTGCCGCGAAGCTACTGCAATTGGAAAAATTAATTTTGAAAATTGGTCACACCTCACAGGGCCGACTTATTTAGTCTGAACGGCTCAGTCAAATAGTAAAATCGTTCCTATCACTCAATAGGGTTCGCGAACGTAAGGACTCGCGACATCCCCAATCATAACTTAGTTCAATTGTGGTTACGGCGACAAAACTGTTCCTCATCTACTCCTAAGTCTTATGACCTGCTGAAAGAGCTGTGGGATCAGAATATCCTTCTGATCCGATTGCTTATTTTATCAGTTGGAAAGCTGTACCCTCTAATGGTTTATATTATCGCTTTTGGTGGGGGATAATTGCATCATCAACCTCTAGTCAATGCGCTCTCAGCAAGGAGATATTAACTTCTATTTATTTTCTTAATTATTTTACTGAAGATTTCTTTCTTTCAATCACACAAATTAGTTGTAAACATCATTATAACCCCATATAAATTCTATTTACATCGAACATAAAAATTCTTTATTTTTTCTTACAGCGATCAGAAATGTATTGCCGCGCCAGCATTCCGCACCATTCCCGGCATGGATAACTGGTGTGAGACGAATTGCTTGCGTTACCCACCAAATTGTCCGGAATCGGCTTGTCATTGTCCGTAAGTGGAATTGAAAATAAATAAATAAAATGCTACTTTCACTAAAACTCTGTCTTTCCAATTGCAGTAAGGATTGTGTGGCGATCGGTGAGCTAGAGGGACGTGAGGGTGCGGATACATATTGTATGGATGAATGCTTGAATCACGATTCAGTGTGTCCAGTGGATAGATGTCGTTGCTTCTGAATTGACGAAGATGTGGATTGTCTGTAAGTTCATGGCTTCAACTAACAGAGCAGTCTTCCTCGAATAAGAGTTCATAAGCCGATTAAGCTTATGAAGAATGGATCAAAGCTGTGCTACGAATTCTGTGCCTTTTTATACTATGTACGAAATGAAAACAAAAATGTATTGGAAATTTTTTTTGGAAAATTAAAACTAAGTGTGTTTTAATTAATTTAATTAATGTTAAGGCGGTATAAAAGGTAAAAAATGCTTCTCACTTTCAGCATATCCTTACTGTTAAAGCTGCTCTAACTCCATTGAAAGCTCCGGTTTTTAGGTGCCGCACTCTTTGCCCATAAAGAAAAATTTGCTATAGGAGGCACCGAGATAACTTCTTCTGTTAATCTCATAGAAGTTATGAGAAAGCTAATGAGAAGCGAATTTACAGGAGAATCATGAGGCATCTGTTTGGGAAGGTGTCGAAGCAGTTCGATCGAGAAGTATCATTTATTTAGGACAGTTCAATCACCACATCGTTTTACGGTCTCCCTGTTTCATAAGCATAAACATTTTATAGTAGAAGGGCTAAATATGTGCCAGGCCCCATTGTATCACTACGATAATAAATATAACAAGGGCCACCTTTTCCGGACTTGTCACGCCCATCACATCTCCTGAATGGCGGCTCCTAATTATAAAATTGACACTTTTTAACCGCTAAAGCGATTTTCGGCCGAGCGCCTCTTCCAATTTGTTGTTTTCGTGTCCTGATCCGTGCATCTGATGGTTTTCTCATGAGGAGCCTTTATTTCATGACCGAAATACACTCGAAGGGCTTGGCATTCCCTGCCGAGGGGCGACCATAATTACAAAATTTAACTTAATTTTTTATTTAAATAAAATTTTTACAACTTTTGGATGTTGGTCATACCAGTATTTGAGCCTGGGCCTTCCGATTGGTAGTACGCTATGCTAACCACTCGGCTACCGCGGTCGTCTAATTAAAGAACCGGATATTCCAGATTTCAGGCTGCCAAATCGTAGATCTTTGATTGGAATTCTTACTTGAGATCTAAGGCTAACTTTGCCGTGTCCCGAAAAGTGCTTGACCAATATCAGATTCCAGTACAAAAGAAGTCCATCAAGCCACTTGGCTGTCCATGATTCGAAGGATGAGGAACAAACCCGTTTATGCTGTCACAAAGACTCACCATTAGTGTTTAAGATGTGCGGCATCTGCGTGGTGCCAACTTTGTTTCGGACCATTTTCTTGCAGCAGCTAAGATACCCACAAGCCTCCGTGCAGCGAAGAACGAGAAATTGGTAGGTGCAATACCAGTGAGTCTAAGGGATGTTGGTCGATATCTAGAGCAGTCTGAGTTTTCCAGGTTTATAGGTTACACGTCTTCAAAGTGCAGCAAATTGATGAAAGGTATGAAGAATACCGAAAACACGAGCCTTAAGCCACAGGATGGACGTTCCATCACCCAACTACGATGAGGCTTTTCGTCAGCTTAATGAAAAGCAATGTGTTGTGAGCCCGTGGATTGTCGTATGAGCTATTCAAAGGCGGCGCCTTAGAACAGACGAAGAACAAGGTACTTGCATCAGCATGTGGGCGGAGGAAAGCATAACTGACGATGGGAACCCGTGTGTGCTCTGCCCAAACCATAAGAAGGGAGATCACACAGTGTACGCCAATTATCATGGAATAAGTCTTCTCAATATTACATCATATAGAGTTCTGGTTTCGGCGGTATAATAACATTAAGTATTGACTATCTGCCAGTGGGTGAAATGTGAGGTTAAATTGGTGACCAGAAAAATGAAAATCTCAAATAATATTTATTTTGTTTTTGTTTTTATATTTATTTATAATTTATTTCTAATATAAATCGTATAAAATTAAACTAAAATTTTTAATTAACTGTGCTATGGTACAATGAAAGTCAATTTGACTGAGTCTATTCGCAATGAACGAAGGCATGTCTTGAAGAATACTTGTTTAGAAAATAGCATCAAATTCAAAAGTACTAACATTGTAACTTAGCTTGTCGTAAAACTAGGATCCGAGACATCTCCAAAATTAAAATAAAATCCGGAATTTTCATTCGAAATTAAAATATAATTCAGACTTGGCGAGACTAATACTTCTTCGCGCCGAAATGAATGTGGCAGTGAAAGTGAGCTCTCTTTGAACCGCCTAAATATGTACATAGATGATAGCAACTTTGGAAACTCCGCTAAATACATTCCATAGTATCACAGCTCAGCGCATTGATGTTCGAAAATGCCACGCAATTGCTCAACGCTCAGCTCTACAGCCTGTTTGCGTGCGACACGCACAACTGGCTCAAGTACTTTTACATAATTCTGTACTTGTCGTCGTTTTTCTATTGGATTGCTAATCTCCTCGGCAACGGGTTGCGCTACAATAGCCGGAATTGGTTGCGGCAAGGGTTGCAACTCCAATGGATCGAGCGACTCAATGCTTACTAAAACTTCGTCATTTTCTAGCTCATCGTCTGAATGTGGCTTGCTACTCGCTTGACTTCTCAAGTTACACTTCGGCAAGTCCGTATGATTGGATATTAAACGCAATGGATACTCTTCTCTACTCTCTTCGCTGTCCTGCTCCTCACTTGGCGGCACGTGACGCCGTAGAGTTTTGTCGAACCGATGACGCACAATAAGTGCCAGTTTACGCCAGCGTTCCTTGGCACGCATACGACGATCTTGCTCGTTTCTAAGCGATACATCAGTCAATTTGGGATTCGCAACGGGTAGACTTATGTGTACATCTTCAATGAGTTTATATTCAGGCGCAGTTTGCCTATATATTGACACTGGCACCTCAAAATCACGCTCCACGCTATCGGCAATGTCACGTGTGATATTCCAATTCGTGTCTCGGTAAGCGGTAATCTTTTCATATTCCACGCAAGGCAAAGCGCTTAGTGATTTACCCGCGGTTGCTTTGCGTTGACCATCTTTTTTGTGTTTCTTAGCTAGATTTCGACTCGAACACGAATTGCCAAATGAAAGTCGATTTCTTAGCTTATCTTTCAGCTCTTTAAGCTCCTGCTCGGCGCTTAAAATGGGCTTATTGACCGGTTTGCGTGGTGTTGTCGCAATTTTTTGTATATTCATGCGTGATCGATCGTTGCCATAGCTTATACGTTTATCCGAACGTGCTTTACGCTCCAATTCTATGCGTGAAGACATACTGCCCACCGCCGCACCGGATGCCATCGCATCAATGCGCGAAGCACAACGATCGGCCAGTGCATTCATTTCCGAGTATTTTTTACCAAGCTCCTTAGCCTTGACTAAGGTCTCAATACGTATCTCCTCATTCGTTCGCAGTCGATCTATGGCTACACGCCGTCGTTTCCATTGCAACGACGACTCTTTGATCTCTTCAATTTCACGAAAGAGACGCTTCAAGCGCACCTGACGCATTTTCATTTCGATTGTCCGATCATTGAAGTCTTTGATGCGTTCATATTCCTCCTTCAAACGTTGAAGTTGACCATTTTTTTTACTCGCGTTAACCATACGCCGGAAAAATGGTGTCGATTTAATTTGATAGGACATCTTGTGCTCGCTACAAATGTTGGCTCTTTTTAACTCGTATGCGCTCACAGTTATCGTGTTTGATCCTCACGCAGAAAGCTTCTCGCAAAATATTGGGTTTATCGATTGAATTGATTGTAGATTCGCAAAAATTTTATGTTAACAATAAATTTAGTTGGCACTCGTGAATTTAGAGCAGCTTCGGTGAGATTCGGTCCCTTCGTGGAGAAAAATTTCTCGCTATACGGTAATTTCTGCACCAGGCACTTTTTTATTATGTTTTTCTGATTTAAAAAAATTGAGCTTTTTTCAGAGTGATAAGAAAAGCTATTAAAAGTCATTAAAAGTGATATTGTCAAGGTGACAATAAATATTTTAGGGTAAAGTTGAAAAACAAGTATTTTGGCTCTACCGAAAATGCGTTCTAATTGGCAACTCCTTGACTCGGAAGTTCCGAAAATTGTGATTGGGAGCTGGGGGTTGGTTTGATTCCAGAAGAAATGTATGAGGCGGCTGTCGTTTATAGAGGAGACTTGAAGTGGTTGAACAATGAAACAAATTTGAGTGTTCCCATATCGGCGAGCACCAGTGCATCCAATCATTGTTTGCAATTTAAAACACTTTTTCAGTCAAATGGGAACATGTAAACTCATGAGTTACACATCTCGCATCGATTTCTATGACAGTCTCACTATAAATATCAACTAAACGGCATTGGGGTGACCCATCATGGGCACATAAAAAATTCGGTCAAACACAGTAGACTGTAGCAAGTCACTGTGGAGTGCGTTGTACTTCCACATCTTGGTTCCTAGCCGCACAGCCTTTAGGGAGTTATATTGGAGCCACTCCAACTTGTTTGTGTTAAGCGTTTACTTAGTCTGTCCAGGAGGAGGCTGAGGAACGGAACGGCTGTTAGCGGACGTCGGCTTTCAATCGAGGGGCTCGCTATAGAAATATATTTTCGGTTTATAACCCGTCTCGCATGAGGATGAACGCTGCGACTTTGAAAAAACTTGTCTCAATTGGCAAGGGGTCTAAGGGAATAATGTCCTCGTTAAAATCATAGCACAACGCATGGGGTTATTAGTTTATGCTACCATGTAGAGTCATAGGTTCAAATTCTAGACGAACCAGCATGTGAGAGCAGGGAATATAGTCCCCTGCGGTTTAGGGGTTCAAGAATTTACCCGCGGTAAGGCCTACCTGCTGTAAGAGGCAACTAAAATCCATTAGTTTTCGCGACAGACGGGTCTTTATACCGGAACGACCCGTATTTTTATCCCTCCAAGGACTGTCACTCCCGGAACATTCCCCAAAAAGTACTTTGGGGAATATTTTTGTAGTTACAACAACAACAATAGCATTGAGTTTCAAGCTATCTAGTAGATTCTGTTGTCGAACATAAACTATCAGAACCGCTGAACCTACCTACAGTCTCTGTACGCCAATCACAGATTGTCCGTCAACAGCTTTAAAAACCCGCTTACCGTAAATGAATTGCTCGGTATCCAACCACCTACCACAGTTTAAGAAAAGCTCGAGCGGGGGTTAGGTTCTAAGGCTAATAATACCTCCCCTAACAGTCGGGTCCTTATAACAGAACGAACCGGTTGTTTGTCCAGCCAAGGACTGTCACTCTAACAGTATTTCCGGAACACCAATATGGGGAATATCTTTGCGGTTATTAAAACAACAAGAGCTCAAGCGGCCACGCTATACTCCACTAATACTGTCACATTTAAGCTTTGGCTACTGTGCCACACTCAACTCCTACCTGTACAGACTTGAACCTGACATACCTAACGCACATTATGCACTGCAAGCAATAAGCGCCCGCAGTACATTAACTACCCGTACACTAAGTACCACTTATCTAACACCCCTTTTCGTCTGGTCGGAGCACGTCGAAACAGCTCGTTTTCTGGATCTCCCGTGAAATGACCTAGAACGATAAAGACTAGCCTCGCTTGCGCCTAAGCGGGATTGAATTGAGCTTCACCACGGTGGATGAATGTCATCCCACACCCCCTGCGGGTTAGGGGCTCAAGAATTTACCCGCGATAAGGCATGGCTGTCGTAAGAGGCGACTAAAATCCAATAGTTCCCGCGACAGTCGGGTTTTTATACCGGAACGACCCGGATTTTTATCCGGCCAAGGACTGTCACTCCCGCAACATACTTTGGGGAATAATTTTGCGGTTACAACAACAACAACAACAACAATGTCATCCCACAGTGCTCAAGATGACGTGCACAATGATACCTTATATGGCGGACGTTTGTAATAGGTCGTAAAAGGCGAGTGATTAGGTTTGCGTATTGCCCTTTGAAAGGTCTGGGTTCGAGTCTTGGTTCGATCAACATTCTAAATTACAGAAAATGTCAAGTTCTCCGAGTATATTTGTGACATGAGACGGCTTAGTATAAAATGCAGGGCTTTCCATTTTTTTCGGAAAACATCAAGACCCATACTATAAATTTGTGGAGGAGCTTAGCCGTTTGCGAAAAGCGATATATTTTATAGGGTTACTAGAGTGAAGAAGCCCACAGCTAACATTTAAATATAATAAAAACAGTTATCATTATTCAGTACCATAAAATATATTCTTTAAACATTGATAAATTTATGCCCACGTTTCTGTGGATACAATTAATATGTATGTGTTATGTTGTTGTATACTCGTACATACACTGCATGAATTTTTTTTATAATTGACACTTCATGCTAAAGTGTTAACTTGGCAACATGTTGCATTCTTCCAACGCAATTCTCGTTACCTTAAATGCTTTGTGTTAAAATTATTTTACTGTATTAAGCAAAACATAAGCTTTAAGGCAAAATTCAACAAACCATTAAAGTGAGGTGTAAAGAAAATGCAAAACGTAAATGTGTAAGTATGTTTTTTATGTTTAGTTTAATTTAACAGTATAATACATGCAAAAAAAAATTCTTTTATATATTTATAGATATACTTATATTTAGTTTAACATTATGCCAGTAACACTGTGTGTAATAATAGAATTTATAATTAATAAAATAATATATGTATATGTATACAGGCAGGAGTTCTATTCCTTTTACAATAAGTCAACTGAAAAATGCTGAGATTACAAGTGAGGAATGAATACAAAATTAAATTTGGAATTTTCATTAAAAGATATATATTTTTTTTAATATTAAAGCCAACAATATTTTTGAAAAAAAAAAATTAAATCAAAAAAAATGTTGCAAATAATACGAGCAAGGAATTCTTTCACAAAGCTGCATTAGTAAATCTTCAACAATGGAAATGTGTCTCGTGTGAAGGCCGAAAATTTACAGCTTAAATTCGAAACTAACGCTTTAGTGCCAGTTAAGACATTTTTAAAAAAAATTTTCCGAAAATATTTCTTTCATAGTATTATCACAAAACGGCTGCAAGTTTGCTTCTCTACTTCCAACGGCCGGAATAGTATTTCTCAGTCTGCTTTCAAAATAGAAATTTCTTCTTTTTCTTTTTCAATTTCTGTTTATCCATATTCAGTTCGGATTCATCAGCGTCCTGTTGGTGAATTTAAAAAAAAAAAGAATTATATTAAAATGTTATTCTACTAAATAAATAAGCTTTGTTTAGCTAACCTTGTCCGCATCAATTTTCTTGCTTTTACTCAGCCTTTTTGACTCCTTTTGTTTTTTCTTTTCCTTTTTGGAAAGCTTCACTGAAAGTTTCTTGGAGTCTGAGTCATCTTCACGCTGTGCAGTATGCATTTCTAAGCGTTGTTTAATACTCTGTTAAGATAATAATAAAAATAAATTAAAGTCGTATATTATTTAACATTTTTAAATGGAATATTGGAGGCAAGTGATGTGCATAGAATTTAATAAATCTTTAATTTAATTTTCTATTTATTTACTTTTGTTTTGTTTAAATTATTAAAATCAATAATTTTAATTTATATCATTTTAATTTATCCCATTTTATTTTATAATTTTATCTTTAGTAAGTAATTTTTATTTTGAATTTTGCTAATTTTATTTAACTTGTTTTATTATATTCTATTTTATTTCTGTTTTATTTCATTTAAATAATTTAATTTTCTATTTTATTTTATATTTTTAATTATTTAGTTGTTTATTATTTTTTGTTTATAAATTTTTTATTTAATTTATTATTATTTTTGCTTAATAAATTTTTCATTTTATTTTGTTTTTATTTAAATTTATTTAAATCCGTTTTTTAATATCATATATTTCAATTCTTTATTCTTCTTCATTTTATTTATATGGTTTTATTTTATTTTTGCTTCACCACATTTCAATTAATTTAATTTTTTATTTTATTATTTCATTTTCATTTGTTTTGATTTTATTTTATTTTTATTTTTACTTCAATTTTCATTTTAATTTTTAATTTTAATTTTAATTTTAATTTTAATTTTAATTTTAATTTTAATTTTAATTTTAATTTTAATTTTAATTTTAATTTTAATTTTGAAAAATGCTGAGACTACAAGTGATTAATGATTACAAAATTTAATTTTGAATTTTTATTAAAAGATATAATTTTTTTAATATTAATTTTAATTTTAATTTGAATTTTATTTTTTTTATTCTATTTTATTTTATTTTATTTTTTATTTTATTTTTTATTTTATTTTTTATTTTATTTTTATTTTACTTTAATTTTATTTTTTATTATACTTTTATTTTATTTTATATTTTATCTGTTGTAATTATTTTTTTTTATTTTATTGATTTCATTTATTTGGTTTTATTTTATTTATTATCTATTTTATCTTTCATTGATTTTATTTAATTGGTTTTAATTTATTTTATTTGATCTAATTTTTTCTTTTAATTTAATGGCCGCATTTATTTGGCTTTATTTTATTTTTGGTTAACCTCATTTCAATTATTAAATTTTGTTTTGTTTTTATTTTATTTAATTTAAACTATTATTTATTTTTATTTATTTTGTTTTATCTTATTTTAATGTTTTTTATTTAAATTTTATTCATTTTATTTCATTATTTCATTTTTATTGATTTAATAAAAAAACTTATTTTTTTTATTTTCTAATCATTTATTTTTAAAATTTTACATTTTTTTTATATTTTGTAACTCTATATTATTGTATTTTGTGTTATTTGATTTTTTTTTTTGTTCAATTTTACTTAAAATTTCATTTTAATTAAATTGAATTAAATAAAAATTAATATTTCAATTAAATTTTTATTTAATTCAATATTTCATTTTGTTTTATCTATTGTAAATTATTTAATTTACTTTTATTTATGTTTAAGATTTAGGCAATTTGATACATAATACTATAAACTTACCAAATCTTCTTCGGCCTCGCGCAGTCGATCCATTTCTAAACATTCCACGACTTCATTTCGCAATTGTACGACCTCTACCAGTCGTGCTATGAGTGTTTCTTCGCGTGCTTTATCCGAATCCGTTTTATTGCGTTCGGGCTGAGCCATGAGCACTCGTATCTCATATTCCAAATCTGCTTGTTCTTGTTCCAAACGATGTTGACGTCGTCTATGCAGGAAGAATGATTATTAATGATTACTTAAAATTAGATTTTACCCATATTTTGATAGGCTTTTCGGTTATTTTTATTGCTAACTTTTTGATTTCTTCATCGATTGAATGTTATTTTCATTAAATTAACTATGGCACTATTAATTAAATTATCGATCGATTAGTTCATAAATTAAATAGCATATTTGTCATAATAAATAATACTTACAGATACATAAGCTCGGCCTGACGACGAAACAGCTCGTTCTTCTCGTTCACCAACTCGAACAATTGTAGTATCAGATCTTCCACCTCTTTTGAATTCTGCACATGCTCCGCCGTACCGCCTGTCGACGGCTTTTTACTGCCATCTGGCGCATCTCCAGCCGTCGTATTGGTGCCTAAAAGCTCGCCATTCTGACCCTCACAACGATCACGTATCATTTTCTCCAAAATGACACCTTGCTTTTCGAGACCCTGCTGTTGCACTTCGATGATCTCCAGTTCGTGGCGTATTTCTTGCAATGGCAACATTTGGAGCACTTTACGAGGCGGTATGGGCAACGCCGGCGCTGGTCCTTTACGGCGTTTCCACTTGCCATGCGCCGATTTGTTGTACGGCGTCGACGAGATGTCGCAGTCTTCCGCACCCGATGATGCTGATATTTGTGATTGTCGATTGCGATTTTGCGCCTCCTTATTGTCCTTTAACTTCTCCAGCTGACGACCGTGCAGACTATCGAGCAATGGATTGGTTTCGCGTGTCGGCGTTTCCATGCTGGGTGGCACTATGACACGTCGATACACGACATTCGTCTCCTCTTGCTGCTCGCTATATCGTAGAAGTTGCTGTTTTTGTTTGGCATCATCGCACTTGCCGCTACCATCACCATTTGGAGCACCCTCCAAGTCAGCGTCATTCTGTTCATCTTCCAGTAAACTAGCATCGAGCGGTATGATGCGACGTGAACTACGACGACTTGTGGGCGTTATTTCTTCAACAAGTTTAAAGTTTATGTTGTCTCGCACTGACAACTGTTTACCCTCCAACAAAGCTTTCTCTTCATCGGATAGTTTCGAGTCGGATATTTCACTTTGCAGAGGGTAATTATATGAGTTTTTTGACGCCGTGGGTTGTTGTTGCGTTTGCGCTTGTTGTGACTCCGTTGGTAACAAACTGGGATCGAGTCGTGCTGGTTTTGGTGGCGCTGGCGCTAGACGTTTCTTGCGACTTGATTTCGGTGTGCCCACAGTGCTCGAACTGGGTGTAGATGCTTTTGAGCTGTCGGTTTGACGATCAACGCTCGTCACTGAAGGCGGCGGCGGTGGCGGCACAGTGGGCGCTGTAACGGTCGGCGATGACGTCGGGAATAACTCTTTGGCCAGCGGTGTGGGTGGTGGTGGCGCTCTCCGAGATTTACGTGAGCGTATAGTGCCACCAGCAGACGATGTCAAAGAGTTATTCGAACCGCGTATATCCGTGTTGCGTTGCAGGCTCTGCGGTGTGCTGCCGATCGAATTGGCGCTGCCGTAATAGTCACTGGAATTTTGTAGAATGTACGGTGAGGCGGATTGTGTAGATTTGGTGCTGAGACGTGGCGTGGGTTCCGGTGTGGGATTTTGTGATTGTGATCTAAGTTTGTGCGGTGGTATATATTTATATTTTAGCATTTTTTATATATGTATGTATGCGTAAAAGTCTTTTAGATATTTGTTTTTCTCGGTGCAAAAGTGCAAGTGTCGTTTATGCTGCTGTTGACATTTTAAATGAATTATTTTATTAACGAGATGATTACGGGTTTTGAATGTTTTATTCAAGTAAAAAAATATTCAAAATATTTTTTATTTCATTTTTAATTAAAGTTAATTAATTTATTTTAACTTATAATATTTAATTTTTTTTCCATTTAATTTATTTAATAAAAAAAATTTTTTATTAGATTTAATTCAATTTACTTAACTTAATTCAATTTTTTATTTATTTTATTTCATTTCATTTCATTTCATTTTTTTTTATTTTATTTTATTTTATTTTATTTTATTTTATTTTATTTTATTTTATTTTATTTTATTTTATTTT